ACTAGCCCCCCCCCCCACCATCAAACCCCTAATTAAGAAAACGCCCCATTGTCTTGCCTGCAGGCCAATATCATGGAGACATTGTCTCATTTTTGGTTCACTCTTCTCAGATAACTTGTAGCAGAGTAACGAAAACAACAACAAACACCAACCAAGACATGGGTGTGTGTTTGCCTAAGGGTGCTGACAGCTTCTTGACTGGGGGGGGTCTCATAGGGGATAGCAGAACCCCATACTGCTGTGAGAGAATACAAAACTGGATGTATTCAGAAAGGGGGAATTTGAGGGGTGCATGGGGGTCTAACCCAACAGTGGGGAGTTAAAGGGTGCTCTTCTTTGCCCCAGATCCCTATGTTAAGGTACACCTGCTTCAGGGAGGCAAGAAGGTTCAGTAGAAGAAAACCACCATTAAGAAGAACACCCTGAACCCCTATTACAACGAGGCCTTCAGCTTCGAGGTGCCCTGTGACCAAGTGCAGGTGAGTGCGGCCAGGCCCCTGCTTCCACCACAGGAGACCCCCAGGCATGGTCGTGGCAAAGGGAAAGGGGCCTGGGGGTCCCTGAAGAAACCAGATCCTGTTCACTTCCATTTCATTCTCTGGAGACCAGGAGGCCTGACCTTAAAACCTGGCCATGGGCATGTTCTCCCCCAAGTAAGACTTGCAGTGTGGACAGCCCCGCCCCCAACAAGCTCAGACCTTCCAGTTCTTATATAGAAAAGCCTTTATGGGTTCCGGCACCCCTGTCAAGGACATGCCTGGTTGTCCCTTTTCTGAGCCCTGCTCTCTAAGGTGGTGCCTACCAAGCCCTGGACAACGGGTCCTGTGGGTTTATCTCTGCAGAAGGTCGTTTTCAGCAGGGTGTTATGGCGCATGCTTTTGATCCCAGCACTCTATAGGCAGAGGCAGGAGGATCTCTGTGAGTTCGAGGCCAGCCTGGTCTCCAGAGCGAGTTCTGGGCCAGGCAGAGCTATATAGTGAGGCTTTCTCTAAAGTAGAAAAAGGAAAGACAGGAAGAATTTCCTTTTCAAAGGAACAAAAGTTCCTGGGCACCTTTTCGTCTTTTCCAACTGCCACTCCTCCCTGCCCCAAACTCCTGAGGCCATATCCCTTTATAGCCTGGTCGCTGGAAGAGAATGTCCTTGGCAATGACCCCTGCGCCTCTCTCCCCGCCTCCATCCTTCCCCCTCCTGTCTCCCTTTCCCCCCCACCCACTCCAGAAAGTCCAGGTGGAGCTGACTGTATTGGACTATGACAAGCTGGGCAAGAATGAGGCCATCGGGAGAGTGGCGGGGGGGGGGGGGGGGGGGGGGGGGGGGGC